AATGTTTTTTGTAAATTTTTTTTACCTACCTTTTTATTTTACTTCGAGAATGTTTACAACATTCAAGTTTAATGATGTATTATTACATTTCTTGAAGTCTGAAAAAAGCAAGCAAAGATCATTCTTTGGTAGGTATATTGATGTATCAAAATACCACTTCAAGAAAAACTTAACTCTTAAGTTGTGTAATCAGAAGAGACCGATGGAAAGAACTATCATTCAAGGATAATTAAATGACAAAAAAATATGGATCGCTTGCCTATCCGTTTCATTGACCAAGCCATGACATTTAGCGTCAAGTCTCCATCTATGAAATGATAAGTATGAATCAAGATTGGGATAGATCACAAGTAAAGACCTTCAGTTTGGAAGTATACATATATTACTATCATGGGACCATGACACTCAAAATCAATTAACGGCGTTGAAAAACATAAAATAATAACTGCACATACCTCTGTAACTTGTAAGTAAGACCGAGTAATATAGTATACACCAATATCCACATCTATAATTTAATTTATTTAAAAATTATTTTTACCTAAACATTACATATTCAATTTTTATTATTGTTTTTTTCTTTTATTGAAAAAAAAAATACTTTTAATATTTATACTGAGCTCTGCTAAGAGCCAAGTCATTTTGCTTTTGATAAATAAATCTAATACATTGGTTTCCATTTAATTTTTTATATCAACCCTTCGTATTAACCTTCAAAATAATATCTTAACTTAAATGTTTAATAAAATAAATATTTTTTTTTTAAATTTAAGCTAAAACCATTTACTTTAGCAAAAAATTTAAATCTAAATAATATTTATGTTATTAATTATTATATTTTTTAAATAAAATATTTTAAACTAGTGTAATAAAGTTGGTGTGTATAAATATTTGTTTTATTTAATTGTAATCTATGTACAAATAAAAATTTAACATAATACCTAACCTAACCTAACCTAGGAGTCCAGATTTAACTTGTCTAGATTGTTTCCTCTGGAGATATTTAAAATATAAAGTTTGCGAAACTTAACCAGTAAGCTTAGATGACTTTAAAAACCAAATAAGGAATACATGTGGGGAAATAAGTTAAGATGAATTTAGCTAATATTACAATAGGAAATCGTATGAGGCGAACGGAAATGTGTTTTAATCAAATTGGTCGATAATTTAAACATTTAATGTAAGCGTATAGCATTAGTAATAATTGAACCATCTATTAGAAAAATTAAGTAAGTCTTAAGTCTAAAAACTTTAACTCGGAGAATATTGCTACGCTATCGCCTACCGTATGAATTTTTATAGTGCACTAACCATTTGTAAAGTGTGAAATATTTACTTTAAAGATTTTTACAAATAGTTCATTTTTTTTTAATTAAAGGTATGTTGTTTCTCAAATAGATGGCTCACTTAAAAGTTTTAAATTTTGATTAAATTTTATATTTTTCTCTACAACTTTACATAATAACTAAAGCAATCGTTAAGACTAGACCATTCTTTAAAGTGGTTTTTAATAATATTAATATTTTTTTTAAATATTGACATGTTATTGTATTTACCTCAGTCTGAAATGCCTATTTCTTTTGAACCAGTCGGTCAAAAAGTTGTTTTTTTGTTCAAACATCATTATTTTTTTTGTACAAACGATAGAAAAAATTTGAACAAACAAAAAATACAAAAGGTCAGAAATTTAAAAAAAATGTGTTGATTTGTACATAATAATGTATATATAATATAATATACATACATGTTAAATTATATATTTATATATTATATTTATTATATTTTTTTATATATTTCGTTTATATATATTTATATAAACGAAGATATTAAATATATAAACCTTCGCCAGTTACAGTTTGTGGGAAAATATATAAAGACTAATTCAATAATTTTACAAGTGAAAAAGACCCATAAACAGCAACTTAAAACTGTCTCTAAAGTTTACATAAAAATCATAACAAGGGGTGATCTTCAATTCAGACCTATACAAACTCAAACACAGAAATCTGCAATATTAAAAGATATTTAACTGATAAAGGTATCTTTGCAAGCGGTCTCTAGCTATAAATTAGTCGACAAAAATAAATGGTGTGCTATTTTAAAGCTGTGAACCCCCTCTGTCTTCTGTCACATAGATTGTAATCTATTCGAAACCGGATTCCTATTATTATATATTTATATTACTGTATATTATATAATGGTTATACAGGGTATATGATAAAGGAAGGAAATCGGTCAGACGCATTGTATTATTGTGAATTAGAGCAGATGGAATTTACACATCTGCTCTGAAAAAGAGTGTTCCTTAATATTTTTTTTTTTTAATTTAATTCAACGCCCCCCCCCCTCAAAAAAAAAGATTCAAGTTTTGAAAAAATATTCCTTATAACTCCGATAACAATAGTAAACCGATTTCAAATACTCAATACCACAAAAGACCAACAAACTTTAAATCAATTTCACTAAGGCGAGAACTGTGACGGTGGCCGCAACAACTTCTACCAAGTTGAGACCAAAATACTTGTAAAAAATGACTTTGACTATACTATATTGTAATTTAATTTAAATAATATACGGTGGAAATATTCTGTGGTGACGTGTCAAGGAAAACTAACGACAAATCGTTTATATATATATATATAAATATATATTATATACAGGGTGATTCATCAAGGATAAGACACTAATTTTCTCAGAATATGTTAATATTTTGAACAATATATATTTCCAATATTTTTAGGTACACATTGTACTATATTTTGACAATTATTTATTACCAATTCTTATAAGCCAAATTGGGGGATTTTTGGTTTTTTTAAATGGCAACATATGTTTTCAATTACATACATTTGTAGAGAATAAAATAAAAAATATGTCAGCGTTTGAATTTTTTATTTTCGTTTATCTGACAATTAGCTATGATTTTGTAAATATACTACATTTCCACTTAATAATTATCATATCTCTTCGGTTTTCGAAAACCGGTAGCACATAAAATTCATATTTATGTTCGCACTGTCCAATTGGCGATAACATTCAAACAACTAACAAGTCAAAAAAAAAGATTTTTAAATAATGATAGACTAACGGTTCCTATCTACAGATTACCTAATGCTATACCTACTGCTACCTACTGGCTACTGCTATGATGATAATATATAATATTGGTAGGTACCAGAATTACCACTCTATGGTCTAAAATCTAGTTGTCATTTATTTTACAATATCTATACTCTACATTCAACAAGTATCAACACAGAACAGAATAATATGTTATTTGTTATTATTAAAATTATTATATTTTATAAAGTAAATAAATAATAATAACTAAAACGGTCGTTTACAATCGCATAAGTGTAACATTTGTGTGGACAACCATTGTGACGCGTCGCTATTATTTTTTAGTTAATTCAATTTATTTAAAAAAATATTGCTCTATGCTCAAATAATTTACACAAATGAAAGAATTTTTATTTTTTAATAGTGGTTTAATATAAACCACTATTAATAAAATAATACAATAAAATGAACTGCCCAAAAGATAGATTTACCTAAAGACTTTAGATATTTGTAAACTGTGTAATAAAGTTAAGTATAGTAATCTTGTTAGTTATAATGGATACCAGAACTTTTAGTAAATATCAACTTAATTTAAGTCGGTAGTTCCGATAGTGGATTCGTAGAACTTTACGTGGTTTTCTGATTTCCCATCCAGGATGATAGCAAAATAGACTCGACGTTACCGTAACGGTAAAATTGTCAACAACGTTGGCATTTTATTTTTTTTAAATAGTTATTTCTTATCATTGAGATTCTGTTCATTGATACTGTAATTGGTACTAATGATAGTACTAATAAAATTATTTTATCAACCACACATGTCTGTAATGGAATATAAAAAATATAATTTTTTTTTTTTAGGGAAATAATTAATATATATTTTTTTTTAGCATACCGGGAGTAAGCCCTATTGTGGCCTAGTTCGGTCGCCGAGGGAGCGCATAGTATTTCTACAAAGCATAGCGTAGAGAGGGGCAGTCATTACTTCTATCCAGGTTGTTTTGCCAGTAAGCTAGACCGCCCGTGACCGGATTCGAACCTGCGACAGTACGCGTAGGCGCCTTTATCCGTCCGGCCACTCTGAACCGTCCGTAATTAATGTATTGATGTTCATTATAATAGATACAGTTTGTTAAAATCTGGGAAATGCTGTCACCTTACGACGAAGATAAGATGTGCACGTCGTAAATATATTACTCCTGATGAACCCAAAGATCTTCTTTTTTCATTACCAGAAAACTGGAAAACAGCTACAATGGATGGTAAGTCAACTTAATTTTAAATTTATGACAACGGAAGTGTGCATCTCAATGTCTTGTACATTCTTCTGCTAATGTATGGTTTATGAATATTACATTAATGTGTTTCAGTATATTTGCTTAATTGTACGTTATACGAGGCGAATTTAAAGGAAATGTTTGACATTTGAATACGATTTTATTCCAAATAAATTGTAAAATACTTATCGAGATATATTAACAAATTATATTATAAAGACTTTTTTGAAATTAAAACATCTCTCAAGTCCCTAAAAAAGCGTTTAATGCCATATGTCATTCATAACACTGAAACACATTAGTGGAGAGGGGGTATGAGTTATATTAAATTTAAGTTTGGGTCTACTGTCGGATTAAGGAATACCTAATAAGTATACCTAAAAAATTCTATATTATTCAATTATTTTTCTTCTTTTATTAAGGATAAAATATAAAAAAATATTAACTATTAAACTTTCTTAAAACCTAACTAGATACCTGTAATAAAGATTATAAGTATCTAATTAGGTTGTAGCAACTTAAGAGCTGCTGATCAAGTAAATTAAACCAGTAGAAAAACAAAATCAACGTGTACAGAAAAAAAAACCTTATTAAACCATTTTAAAGTATATTTTAATATTATTATAGACTGCACAAGATATTATTATTATTGTATTGGTTATGTAAAAAAAAAAATTACAAAATAAAAATGGTACTATTTAGTACATACTAATACTATTGCATCCGGTAAAACACAACAATATGAGTTAATGCAATTGTTAAAATTTGTTTACTTAATTAAATAAGCTTGAAATAATTTCCACCAAATCGTATTCCTCTTCCATTCCTTAATTTGGTCTCAAGTCTGCGCCGTGGTCATTAAAGTTGTTATTATAATATTGATCACGATGACCTGTGTAAGCAAAATTTTAGTTAATATAGTTATTTTATTTAAATTCTTTAAATAAAATATCACCGAAAATTACCTGTAAAACTTTGTTGTGTTTTAATAGTTTCCATATGATTGTACTGTAATGTATTTTGATTATTTTGTAATTTATAATCTTTTCTCTACTTGACCCTTCTATTCTGGAACCATACCTAAATAACACAATATATGTTTAGTCAAACCTTCGACTTTCATGGTTTAATTTAGAAAAGAGGTATTTGGTCTTAAAGTTTAACCTCTTTCCAAAATTACAGGTAAGGTTAGGTTCAAGGATATTTTCCAGAAAAATGATGGTACCGAGTTAAAATGTATAATGAATTTTTATTTGTTGTACCTCTATACGCTAAAAGTCTCGAATTTAAGTTATACCTTATCCCCTCCCAAGAGTGTTAGACGGTTTTTTACCCATAATTTTAGAACCTTTTGGTTGAAAAAGTTTTTAGAGTTAGTGACGTTGAGCGTGAAACTGTGTACAAAACGACAAACAAAAAAGAAAAAGAACAGCATTTTCAGAACATCAAATTTTTGAAATGGAAAAATTGTTCCAATTAACACGTTACCCTACTATTTTTGAAAGAGAAAATCTGGCTACACAAATAAATTTGCATCAAACTACAATTCAAGTAAGAACTTTATATATTTTTCTATCTTATGACCGGTGTGGCGTCCTCTTAAGGGGCAAAAGATAGAAAAATATATAAAGTTCTTACTTGAATTGTAGTTTGATGCAAATTTATTTGTCCAATAAGTAGGCCACCTCATACTATTCAAAAATAGTAGGGTAACGTGTTAATTGGAACAATTTTTCCATTTCAAAAATTTGATGTTCTGAAAATGCTGTTCTTTTTCTTTTTTGTTTGTCGTTTTGTACACAGTTTCACGTTCAACGTCACTAACTCTAAAAACTTTTTCAACCAAAAGGTTCTAAAATTATGGGTAAAAAACCGTCTAACACTCTTGGGAGGGGATAAGGTATAACTTAAATTCGAGACTTTTAGCGTATAGAGGTACAACAAATAAAAATTCATTATACATTTTAACTCGGTACCATCATTTTTCTGGAAAATATCCTTGAACCTAACCTTACCTGTAATTTTGGAAAGAGGTTAAACTTTAAACCAAATACCTCTTTTCTAAATTAAACCATGAAAGTCGAAGGTTTGACTAAACATGTATTGTGTTATTTAGGTATGGTTCCAGAATAGAAGGGTCAAGTGGAGAAAAGATTATAAATTACAAAATAATCAAAATACATTACAGTACAATCATATGGAAACTATTCAAACACAACAAAGTTTTACAGGTAATTTTCGGTGATATTTTATTTAAAGAATTGAAATAAAATAACTATATTAACTAAAATTTTGCTTACACATAGATCGTCATGGTCATTTGCGGAACTCGTCCTTCGTGAAAAAGAAGAGGCAGAACGGGACAGACAGCGTCCCAACGGGTGAACGGGATAGTCCAGGGCGGCGGGTGCGTGCGTCAACGGCCCGAGAAGACATCGCGAAGCTGTAACATAGAACATGTATAAAAGTTAATAGCACAATTGTAGCATAGTTTTATAAAGTAGTTAGTAAGATAAAAATGTAAATACAATTCCTACGGGGCCCAATGTGCATATTGTTATTGGCCCCCCACTCGAGAAGGGTGTTTTAGATTTAAGGTTTACATGTTTAGGTCTAAGCCAAATGTTAAGTGGGTGTGTGGAGCACCCACAAACACAAAGTTGTAAGTTTATTTAAAATAAATGGCGTCGGAAAAACTGGGGGGGAAGAATTACCTCATCAGGCAAGTACCTCCCCAGTTTTACTATGGATGCATGTGATATGGAAAAAAAAAAAAAAGGTCATCATAATCCATATAATAATAACCACGATATAACAACGACCACAGCAGACTTGAGACCAAATTAAGGAATGGAAGAGGAATACGATTTGGTGGAAATTATTTCAAGCTTATTTAATTAAGTAAACAAATTTTAACAATTGCATTAACTCATATTGTTGTGTTTTACCGGATGCAATAGTATTAGTATGTACTAAATAGTACCATTTTTATTTTGTAATTTTTTTTTTTACATAACCAATACAATAATAATAATATCTTGTGCAGTCTATAATAATATTAAAATATACTTTAAAATGGTTTAATAAGGTTTTTTTTTCTGTACACGTTGATTTTGTTTTTCTACTGGTTTAATTTACTTGATCAGCAGCTCTTAAGTTGCTACAACCTAATTAGATACTTATAATCTTTATTACAGGTATCTAGTTAGGTTTTAAGAAAGTTTAATAGTTAATATTTTTTTATATTTTATCCTTAATAAAAGAAGAAAAATAATTGAATAATATAGAATTTTTTAGGTATACTTATTAGGTATTCCTTAATCCGACAGTAGACCCAAACTTAAATTTAATATAACTCATACCCCCTCTCCACTAATGTGTTTCAGTGTTATGAATGACATATGGCATTAAACGCTTTTTTAGGGACTTGAGAGATGTTTTAATTTCAAAAAAGTCTTTATAATATAATTTGTTAATATATCTCGATAAGTATTTTACAATTTATTTGGAATAAAATCGTATTCAAATGTCAAACATTTCCTTTAAATTCGCCTCGTATAACGTACAATTAAGCAAATATACTGAAACACATTAATGTAATATTCATAAACCATACATTAGCAGAAGAATGTACAAGACATTGAGATGCACACTTCCGTTGTCATAAATTTAAAATTAAGTTGACTTACCATCCATTGTAGCTGTTTTCCAGTTTTCTGGTAATGAAAAATGAAGATCTTTGGGTTCATCAGGAGTAATATATTTACGACGTGCACATCTTATCTTCGTCGTAAGGTGACAGTATTTCCCAGATATGAACAAATTGTATCTATTATAAATTATAATGAACATCAATATATTTATTATTTCCCCATAAAAAAAATATTTTATTATTTATATTCCATGTATGGTTGATAAAATAATTTTAAAGGCCCAGAATGCGGTATAAACTTAGTACAGTCGTTACCAGATAAGTTGGCACAACGGCGGGGGTGTTTATCAATTTTTGTTACTACAATTATTATTATTATTATTATTACAAATTTTATAAAAATAAACTATCAACTATATTTGACAAAGCATAATAGACAAATATAGGTTTTTTAGGTTGTTTTTCACGAAAAATCGATTTCGATTTTTATCATAAAATCAGTCAGATCATATCAAATCTTTTCTTTAATCATAAATATTTTATTAATAATGAACATTTTTTTATTAAAAAAATACGTCTTAGTAAATTTTTGTTTTTTGCATATTTTGTGAGTAAAAAGTGTAAAATGTGCCTTACGAATAAAATTAAAAATAACACTATATTTTTATTTTAAGATTTAAAAAAAAAATAGAAATAAATCTCGGCTCATTCCCGTTTTTGGACGAAAATATTTAGTTTGAGTCTCTGATTTTATAATAAAAATTTCAGAATTTTAAAAATGGTCGAAACTGATTTTCGTGAAAAATAACATACAAAACCTCTCTATTAGGGGTAAATATTTTGTAATAATAGAGAAAGAGAGAGCGAGGGAGAGAAGAAATAGAAATATGCTAGGACGCATTGTAAATATTATGTTCGTTATGAAAAATAAATATGTGCGTGTTATTAATTTATCCTAACTTCTCTTATTTCCATTATTACTCTAAAATTATTATTATATAATATTTCCAAGTACCTTATTCGTGATGATGTAGAAGTTGTATCTGACGTCGATGATGATGATTTAATTTAAAACATTTTACTTTAAGTAAAATACCACTGTTATAATACTAATATTGTACGATTCTACACTTATCGTCTGTTTAAAGTAACGATGTTTTCACCCATATGATTTTTTTGTACTTATGCAAATTTACCTAACTTAACTGTATTATCAAGGACTTAACTGTGGAAAAAATGAGTACAAGATCATTCGGGCGGCGCTCTACTTCACAAACTAGACTGTTGTAGAGAAATACCTACAACGCTGAACGGTGACTGAAGGACCGATCACGGATGCCTTGTTGCAAGCTGTTTTATTTGGTTAGTCCGGATGTGGCGCTCTTGTCGATAATGTTCTGTAGAGGGGTGTATAGTGTGTGTTCATTGGTGAATTCCTTATGGGTTTCTGTCTCGTTTGCATGACTCCTCCCATTTAAGTTTTTTTATTAGCCGCTTTTGAAATGGTACCGTATACATTTCATTAAGGGGAACGGAAAGCGTCAATTTTCTGAAGGGTCTACCGAACCGATTTAAATCATTTTTTTGTTTGTTTTATAGTTTAACATCATCTCTATGGGGTCTAAAAAGACGCTTTTTTATTTTTGTTTTCAAAAAATACTTATAAGCATTATTATTTTTACTTTTTTATAGTTTTTTCTAATACATCTAACTACTTTTTTAATCACTAAATATAAAATCGGCCTTTCAGCCCCTATAGAAAAAATAGTAAGATTAAAAAAAAACAACACAAAATTTAAATCTGTACAATAGATACGCCAGAAAATAACTTCTACGAAAGTAATTTTTTATCAAACCTTCGTCATAACTCGGAGGAAAACAATTTTAAAGTATTATAATTAGAAAATTGTAATATGTGTAAAAAGTTAATAAAATACAATATAATAATAATGAATTATATGCGTTAATATTTAAGTTCCAAAAGTTGCTATCAAAAAAACTAAGTTTGGAGTGGGGTAAAAACAAAAAAAAAATTGTAAGAAATTGAAATCACATTGTATAAAGCATTATGGGGAAAAATGCGATTATTAATTAAACCCGGTGAGATATTGAGTGAATCATGATGAGTTGATCACTCTGTATATGTTTATATATATTTACCGGGTGATTGGTTAACTATGAACCACTTAATATCTTTGAAGATATTACAGACTTTTTTCTATTTTATTTTTTTTTTACTTTAATAGTTATTATTTGGGACAAATTTGATATATTTTCAAAATTTTAACACCATCCCTTATGCGTTAAAACCATATCAACTTTGGATTTTTAAATGGAAACCCCCAATTTGTTTTGTTTTTTGATGATCGTGTTTATTTTTTTTATAATTTTTTTTATAATTTGTTTTTATTTATAATATAATATAGTGTATAACATCAATATATACAATTTTAAATTTACCCACAAACGTACAATGTATAAAAATCATGTACTTGAGTCATCGCGTAATCTACAATAGTAGAACATGCAACTTTATCGCTCAATATACAGAATAACACTAAAAAGTAAAGTCGGAAATCATAACAGATACCAACTATACAATGTCATTTAAAGGTATTATAATTATCATTTTGATGAGGAAATCCTAAAACCATTTAAAATAAATTGTATTATCGGTGTACTACAATAGTATAACGCGCGACTGACGCAGGGTTAATAAATACGAGATGCTTTTATAAGTTTTACAACTAAAGAAAAAAAAAATCGTTTATCGCCGGATTTCACGATTCACAAAATAAGATTAATTAACGTATTGTTAATTAATCTCGACCGTATTGGTCGACGGTTGTAGGATTAAAGTTAATGGTTGACGTTCGTCGGTCAAAACGATAAACAAACTAATAATAAATACATAATATAAATGGGTCATGTCTTCTTATCAGTTTTTTCTGTAGTGTTCCTAGCAGTGTGGTGTACCTGCACGTATTGAATACTCGTACTATCATTAGCTGCTGTTATGTATCAACAAACATGAGCCCTAGAAAATCGTTTTTTTTTTTCAATTTCAACCATAGGTTACCGTGGTCTAATCACGGTCTTAAATAGAGTATAGACCGTGGTTCTACCAAAACGATTCGTTACTATCGTAGATTAATAACAATCCACCTTGTGAGTTGTGCGTTTTCTGTTGCATAAATGAGATAGTTTACAAAAAATACGACTACTTGTAAACTAATCAAAGAAGTTCTTTATTCTAATTTGTCAATAATTATTGTTATTTAGAGTCTTGGTGTTAATAATTGTTAACTTGTACTAGTGTTTTAATTAGTGAAATTATTAATTCTGTTAGTGAAAATATTTTTAAAAAAACTTCAGTAAATAAAATACCATTTTTTGTTTTTTCAGTATAACATTGTATTACAATTTACATACAGTTAATAGATAATATATAGGTACAGAATACAGAATATATACAGATACAAACAATAACTAAACTTAATATGTACAGAAACTATTTTAGCATTTGTTTAAAACGCTTTATGGTAGGTACATAAGATGTCAAACAACATCTTTATAAGGCATCTATTGTGTTTATTAAAATGTTTAGATAACAAAGGATTCCATAAGAAGTACGTTCATCCAATACTTGTGCACTAAAATAAATTTCCATTTTTATAATTTAAAGTTGTAACGCATCAGTTTTAACTATTTCTGGTTCAGTATTTTTAATTATTAAAAGCCGTATTTATTTATTAACTCTTTATTATATTACCACATTAAGTCTATACTGTATACATTTCATAATATTGACTATTGTTACTTAGTTTAATGTGTTCATATGAATAGTAAAAGAATACTTTTAATTTAATAAATGGTTGTTTTTCTCGTTGTACGAGGTATAAACAAAAATGTAGAGTGGCAATAAAAAGTAAATTTTTTTTGTATTTGAAATTCAATAATGAAATTACCGACAAACATTTAAATCTATATTATATTATTATGTTATGTTTATTATCATATTAGTTAAATAAAAATACCAAGTAACAAGATAAATAGTACACTTTTAAGATATGAATAAGATTTTTATTTGATAAATCATATTAAAAAACTAGGACTAAATAAAATTAACATTTTTATAATTAACTTATAAATAGAGGTGCAACATATTGTTCATAGAACAAGGAAGTTATGATACTATACTATAATAAACTATGAAATTAAGACGTACAAATCGCATAAATAAACAAAATGTGTCAAATTACCCAAAAAAAAAATTTCTAAATGCTGGAAAAATACACAAGGTATTGATAACGAATTAAACATACATACTATTTTACAAAATAAATAAATTAATGCAGAAGTGTGCAATGGTGGTAATATTTGTCATTTAATATAGCGGTTATCATTATTATTTACTATCGGTTAATTATTTACCTAAAGTGAATAGTAAGTGGTAGTTGGTATGTTTATGATTTTTAACGCTACTATAGCTATTGTCAAAGTTAATAGTCAATAAATAATAACAGAGTACAGTTAAGTGCCACTAAGCATGTTAGCGTCTTCAAGATTTTTAATTTATTTTTTGCGCTACCCTTAATTTTAAAACTGTATAGCTCGTTAACTACTCAATCAATTTACCTAGTTTTTACGCCTAAAATTAAATTAAAAAAAAATTAGGGGTTACCATTTAAAAATACAAAGTTGAAATGGCTTTAACGCATAAAGGATGGTGTTAAAATTTGAAAATATATCAAATTTGTCCCAACTAATAATTAAAAAATATAAAAAAAAAATTTAAAAAAGTCTTATATCTTCTAACATATTAAGTGGTCCATAGTTAACCAATCATCCGGTGTATACGATTTGTCGTTAGTTGACATGTCACCACAGAACATTTCCAACGTATATTATTTAAATTAAGTCACATCTTAGTAGAGAGGTGTTGCGGCCATCACCACAGTTCTCGCCATAGTGAGAAATAAATTGATTTAAAGTTTGAACGATAAACAATTTTTTTTTATAATATTGATGAATTTCAATAAGAAATATTTAATATTTTTAAACGATCAAAAAAAAATTATATAACCAATATTCGGACCGTACAAAATGTCCGCGTTTAGCATTTTAAACAATGGACCGTACAATGTAACCGTTTACTATACATTATGGAGGTTTTTTTTTAATCGACGTTCCCCAAAAGGCTTTAAATTATGAAACACATTCCTCTAATATTTGAAATTTTTATCTTTATCCCTTAAACTCTCTATTTTGACGAGAAGCGTTTACTTAGGGTTATAGATAATTAAACGAGGAGTATTTTGAAATATGTATGAGATAAGATTGTCAGTTCACTTGAAAAATATTTTATGGCCGAGAGAAGTTTTTTTTGTAGGTTATCGTTGAAACAGGAAGACGAAAGGAGAAAGATTAAAATCCAAAAAAATTACAGAAATATTTTTTCACAACTTGAATCCTTTTTGGAGGGACGTTGAATTAAATTGAAATAATAATATAAATAAAAAGGAACACTCTTATAGTGAAACAGAACAGATGGAGTTTATACATCTGATCTGTTTCACAATAATACAATGCATCTGACCGACTTCCTTTTAATATACCCTGTATAACTAGTATATAAATAGTAATAGAATTATATAATAATAGGGGTCCGGTTTCGAATAGATTAAAACTATGTGACAGAAAATAGAGGAAGTCTTAAGGCTATGTTACAGCTGGATTTATCATGAAAGATTGACAACTGAATCGCCGTTATGTGTTGTCGGACAACTTTTTAAATTATGAGATAATCATTAACATTTGGCTATACATTTTTAACCGAGGAATACTTTAAAACATCGATGAGATGTGGTTGTCATCATCCCGAAAGATATTTTATTCTGACTGAAGTTTTTGTTGTAGGTAAAGGCTTATCGTTGAATCTTTTTGGGGAGTGTTGGCTTAAATTTTCATAAATATAATAATAGGGACCACCCTTGTATACATTTCATTTGTTCTGTTTCACAATAATGCAATGCGTCTGGCCGACTCCCTCCTAATTTACATATACCCCATATAACCACTTTATACAGTAATATATTTATATAATAAAAGCAGTCCAGTTACGAATACGTTACAATCTGTGACACAGGATCGAGGGAGTTTACCACTTTAAAATAACATACGATTTATTTCTGTCTACTATTTTATAGTAAGATACTGCTTGCAAAAATGCCTTTATCATCTAAACATCCTTTAATTCTACACATTTCTGTGTCCGGGTTTGTTTAGGTCTGAATTGAACATTACAACTTGTTATGATATTCATGTCATATTTGGATATAATTTTAAGCTGTTGTTAAGTATGTGCTTCTTAAAAATTCCTGTG